ACAAATTTAAAAACTAAAAGTGTGTCTCATTCACCCCTACTCCTTCATTAATATCACCAAAGGAATCACATCATGGTGCAGTACTTGTTACTACTTCATCAGAGTTAAAGAAGTCAGTTTTATCAGAGAGCTGTATAATTTGCAAGAAAAAATCCAAATATGTTCGAGCGGGGGCCATACAAAAGAGGGACAATTTAGTCCAGTGCGAAATAAAAACAGCATTTTTATTATTTTATTTAAAGCACCAATAACACTTTTGCTGTTTTGATAAGTCCAGTGAAACAAATACCGGTAGCCTTATTCTAACTACTAAATGAGTTAGTGTCTTACTCTTAGTGTAAATCCTCCATTAAATTGTATTTTATTTATCTTAGGTGATCAAAAATATTTTTCAAATCAAAGGTAATTAGTTTTGGATTTGATCGACTACATGTACAGTATCTGTTATAATTGTTTAAAAAAATCAGAATATTTATTAATCAGAAGCAAGATTCCAACATTGAAAGTGTGTTTGGCACTTTTATCGATGATTACATGTAAACTATGTCGTAGGTGAGCCCCATATTGATGGGGGGGGGGGGAATCTGGTTCATTCGCAATTGCAGACAAAACCCATTTTGAATTCATATATCTATTGTAAGCTTATACATTGTAGATGGGCTTTTCCCTGACAATTCTGAGCTAGTTCAAATTATTTAAGCATTTCTTCTTAATATTTCTGCAACTTTTTAAGTTTTCAACCTTTATTTCAAAATATGTTTTTTCATTCTTAATCTTAGCTATACACTAGCCTATCCATGATCATTATCAAGACAGCAGGCTAGACAGGTTTTAAGTATTTTGTTATGTAAAATGAATGATTTTATTAGAATTACACTTATAGAAGCAGTGACCTTGTTGCATTCTCTGTAATCTCCCTTTATTAAGGCATTTTTCTAGTGAAATAGACCGGTCCCATATCCTTAATCAGTGTCGAAAAAACCTGACTGACTGCCACATTTTATGTCAGTGTGATCAAAATACCTTTTGTGGCTCTCATACACCACTTCTCTACACGGATGGGACGTTTTTGGGGTTCATTTGATCTCTGTTCGTCCCAACCGCGAGCGATTTGCAAGGTAAATCGTTCGCATGGCTTTGTTTACAACCCCGCAATCAAGACCGCTGATTGGCCAAATTTTAAATAGATACGCAGGATCCTACTCACATCTACACAAATATGGCTCCGCACTATAAAGAAATAAGTCATCGATTTATAGCCTATTTCGAGCTTGAACTATTAAATTGGCAGATTTTATTGGAGAACTTTGTTGACATATTGATTGCACGATTATTGATAGTCCGATTTGTAGACCGGTTTAGCGGGAGCGAAGGTGACAAGATTTTCACCCCGAGAATACGGCCTATGTGTTTTGGGACTATCCCAACTTATAAACCAAATTTGGTCAAAATTTGTGATTGAAGCCTTAGCACCTTCTGCATGGTTTTCTCGCGGACACGCTCTTAATTCTATGAATTATGTTTTATAGGACATTATATGGGGACAGTATTAGTGTTGTAATTTGGTTTAATTCTACCAATTAAGTTTAGTTTAATCATTTTTTCTTTCTTTTTATCATTATAATAATATTATAATAATATTTTTGTGTGCCTTTCTTAAAAATCATCCAAATTAACTTTTGTCTGAATTTTTGAGGAGCCATGTGACTGTCAGTGAGTACTTGGCTATTACCTTCATAGTATAATATTATGTATACCAGCTGTATACACTATACGACTGGTACCGTGGAATCTCGGGTAAATAGCGTTATTATCTAATCTATGTAGAATTATTCATAAATATCATTGAATTTGGCCTAATAATAGCATTCAATTTGTCCTTGTATACAACTTAAATCTCAACGTGCAATTTTGATAACCAAGCGTTAATTAACTAGTGTTTAGTTTGTCGACACGTGTGTAATTATAAGCGTCCCGCTTAATTTTCACGACTGTTCAATAATTAGTTGGACCGTTCAATTTCCCAAGTTGTGATTAAAATTAGTCAAGGTGTCTAATTACGCCAGGTATTCAATTCTGTTGCCGAACATCCAATTTCACATGCGTTGTTCAGATTTTAACGAAATGTTTATATTGAAGGAGTTGTAATATAGTAATGCTGCCGTGAAAACTCACGGGCGAATTCGAGCAAAAACTTGCACCTGGAACGCCTTGTAGCTTGACCATGGCGACTTCTCGATCGCCTTGTGTCGCCGTATCATGTCTTGGTGGCGACTTCAGATTTTTTTAAGTTACCGTACGTGAGCTCTAGCGTCATACCAAATGTAACATAATAGTTGCGGAAATTTTATGATAAATTAATTATTCCCTTCTTTGCTTTTATATAAATGTTTGTATGAACTATCGATATACTGTACGAAATCATTAATTACATGACAGGCCAAGCGTATTGTCTATTTTTATCACATTATAGTCAGCGTGTATCCGGCCAATCAAAGTCTTTGTTTAAAAAATAATCTATTTTTAGTAACAAACGGTCTCTCAATATCGGAATATGCTGACATTATTTAATAACTCAATGTGAAATAAAAATCCTGTTTCTACTCCAAGAAATATGGCGTATTTGTGGCAGATATTGTCATTCTAAATGCTAGCGTATAAAGAATAATGAAATGAGTGGATCTGACGGTTATATCTCTAGATATTTCTTTGTTCTGTATTCGTGTCGTATAATTTAAAACAATGAAATTGTGTAAAAATCTGACTGCGGTGGTATATAAAATGTGATATTTGATGGAACCGTTATTAAATCATTTTGATATCTAAATCATGTCTGCTACAAAATGGCTAAGAAAAAATTCGCCTAAACTGGGTACTAAACGAAAGGATCGCGATGATTCGACCAACATTCCTCCTGCTAAACGAAAGTATGGCAAGGAATTCACCTAATTTAATATTCTTTTGATTGGTATGTGGTCGACGAAAACGGAAAATGGCATTGGAAGATATATAGAGCAGCTCAAGTTGATTCTAATTATGCCGTAGGCCATGATCATCCTTCTAAAACAACCAATGATACTCGTCACAAAGTTTGTAAGTGTAGTTTAATTTTTGTTATTTTTGTATTATCGTAATTTTCTCAACCTATTTTTATGACCAAAGTATAGTGGTTTCTGACTATATGAAATGAAATGTACGATCTCATTGGTCAATAATACATTGATGTTAAAACAGATCAGTTGATTGGAACTCCATTTTTATCAGACCACAATTTTTTTTCTTTTTAACATTTTCGTTTACATTTTTCAAGATAAAGAATTTTCACAATAGTAAGACTAGAGCACATATATAAAATTATATTGTTTTTGTTATTTTTTATATTGTAAAATAGATGAAAGATTAAACTGAAAAATAAATGGGAATAATGAAATGTTTGTTTATTTATGAGCATGCAATATCTGGTGTTGGCAATTTTCTTGAAGTCCCCCTAAATTTCCAGAAGTCCCCCTGATATTCAAAAAGGGAGACTTGAAGTCTCCCTAAATTTTTAGTCCAGCTTGAGCTCTGCATACACATAGAAACCAAGAAACTGTGAGGACGAATTGTTTAAAACCACTGTTTTATATATTCAAGTATACTGAAAATAAAAGTTTTTAGTGAAGAAATTATTTTGGATTTAATTCAGTGCGTCAATCACATATAATGATATATACTATAAAGGTGATTACATTCATAGTTATGTGCTACATATGTAGCACATAAGAACTATTAATGTAATCTACCTTTTATAGTATATATCATTATATATTTAACATTTAATAAAGATACATTATTGGAGATTAGATCAAGAGTTGGCAGTTCTTGCTATAGTAGTTAACCAGTGGCTGCCAGGCAGGATACGCCCACATTTTCGAGAGATGGATAGAGAACAAGCTAAAAAGAAAGTGATTTTTAATACAATCAAGGGCCGCAATTCAGGAAATTACAATTCGATATGCGCAAATATCAAAAGGAACCAAGATTTTTGGGTTATAAACTTACATTTCAAGTTTCAACAAAATCGGATAAAAATTGTGACCTCTATAGGGTCCACAACCTTGATATACCATATTTTTACGCTATTTGAGAACGAAGGGCGGCCATTTTGTCTGTCAGTTTTGGGGCGATTTTCACGAAATTCGAACTCGGCCGTCCTTAGGGTGAAACGGTGATATAATAATATGATTTTTTAAATCGGATAAAAATTATGACCTCTATAGGGTCCACAAGCTAAAAACGTGATTTTTCGTACAATCAGGGGCCATAATTCAGGAAGTTACGGTCCAATATGCACAAATATCGAAAGGAACCGAGATCTCTGGGTTATAAGCATACATTTCAAGTTTAAACCAAATCGGATAAAAATTGTGACCTCTACAGTGTTCACAAGCTAAAAACGTGATTATTCATACAATCAGGGGCCATAATCCATGAAGTTACAGTCCGATACATGCCAATATCGAAATGAACCAAGATCTTAGGGTGATAAATCTATATTTCAAGTTTCATCGAAATCGGATAAAAATTGTGACCTGTAGACTGTTCACAAACGGACAGGGGCGACGACAATATACGTCCACATGAAAATGTGGGAGTATAACAAGTAATTGTCTGTGATATCACTTAGGTGGAAGCGGAAGTAAAACTTCTATTTCACACACATAATGGTTTTCTGATAATTACTTCATGAGTTGTTACTCTTAATCAGATTTTAGTGCATTATAAATGTTTCATTACCGAAAAAAGTAAATGAACATTTGTTGACTGCCCGGACGATTTAGCTGCTGTGGGTGTATGTTTCATTGCCTGGTAACCTATCTTTTAATATATAAAGCTACAGTTCCATGTATTTTTGTAACAAATTAGTTGACGATAAATCTGCTAAATTGCTGATATTTTGCTTGATGCTAGTTGAATGTGAAGAAAGGCGTTATTTGTCAATAAGATTTGTGAATGCGTACCTTCTTCTTTTAGCCATTCTCTCAGCTTCACCAAAAGAGAGTTTGTTATCAGGTATATGTTCTGGTTCCTGTCGATGTTCAGCTCGTGGTGTGATAGAGAAACGTTGTTTAATCTTTACATCTATATCTTTCTGTATAGGTACAGGAATACGAGGAAACAGTGTAGCATACCATTCTAACTTGACCAACCACTGACGAATCATTTCTCCAATTAACATAACATGACCACCACCAGCCTTCACATCAACTTCCTGAAAGGGTTATTGTAGCAAATTCAAATAATAAATTACACCAGCTGCTGCCAGGCAGGAAACGCCCACATTTTGCAGGAGATGGATAGAGAACAAGCTAAAAACAAACATGATTTTTTGCACAATCAGGGGCAATAATCTAGAAAGTTATGGTCTGAAATGCGCAAATATCAAAAGGGACTGAGATCTTTAGGATATAAGATACGTTTTAAGCTTCATCAACATCAGATAAAAATTGTGACCTCTAGATGGTCTACAACCTTCGTATTACATACTTTTACACAATTTGAGTACAAAGAGCAGCCATTTTGTTGGGCAGTTTCATTTCAAGTTTCCCGAAATTACGGTAGAATGGTGATATAGGGTATTTAAACATTTTTTGAAGTCAGAAAAAAAATTGTGACCTCTAGTGAAAGCACAAGCTAAAAATATTATTTTTTATACGCCCACATTTTCATTCGGACATCAGATAAAAATTGTGACCTCTAGATGGTCTACAACCTTCGTATTACATACTTTTACACAATTTGAGTACAAAGAGCAGCCATTTTGTTGGGCAGTTTCATTTCAAGTTTCCCGAAATTACGGTAGAATGGTGATATACGGTATTTAAACATTTTTTGAAGTCAGAAAAAAAATTGTGACCTCTAGTGAAAGCACAAGCTAAAAATATTATTTTTTATACGCCCACATTTTCATTCGGACGTATTATGCCGTCGCCCCTGTCCGTCCGTCCACAATTTGTTTGTGGACACTCTAGAGGTCACAATTCTTATCCGATTTTGATGAAACTTGACATATAGGTTTATCTCCAGAAGATCTCGGCTGCTTTCGATACTGGCATGTATCCGATCGAAACTTCATGGATTATGGACCCTGTTTGTACGAAAAATCACGTTTTTAGCTTGTGGACCCTATAGAGGTCACAATTTTTATCCGATTTTGTTGAAACTTGAAATGTAAGTTTATAACCCAAAGATCTCGTTTTTTTTCGATATTCGCGCATATTGGACCATAACTTCCTGAATTATGGCCCCTGATTGTACGCAAAATCATGTTTTTAGCTTGTGGACTCTATAGAAGTCATAATTTTTATCCGATTTAAAAAAACGTATTATTATATCACCGTTACACCCTAAGGACAGCTGAGGTCGAATTTCGTCACAATTGGCTCAAAATTGACGGACAAAATGGCCTCCGTTAGTTCTCAAATAGCGTAAAAATATGGTATATCAAGGTTGTGGACGCTATATAGGTGACAATTTTTATCCGATTTTGTTGAAACTTGAAATGTAAGTTTATAATCCAACGATCTCGGTTCCTTTATCGATATTCGCGCATATCGGACCGTAACTTCTTGAATTATGGCCCCTGATTGTACGAAAAATCGCGTTTTTAGCTTGTGGACCGTATAGAGGTCACAATTTTTATCCGCTTTAAAAAAAATGTGATTTTTCGAACAATCAGGGGCCATAATTCAGGAAGTTACTGTCCGATATGCGCAAATATCGAAAGGAACTGAGATCTTTGCGTTATAAACTTACATTTCAAGTTTCAACAAAATCAGATAACCAGCGGCTGCCAGGCAGGATACGCCCACATTTTCGAGAGATGGATAGAGAACAAGCTAACAAGAAATAGATTTTTCCTACAATCAAGGGCCATAATTCAGGAAATTACAATTCGATATGCGCATATATCGAAAGGAACTGAGATCTTTGTGTTATAAACTTACATTTCTAGTTTCAACAAAATCGGATAAATATTGTGACCTCTATAGGGTCCACAACCTTGATATACCATATTTTTACGCTATTTGAGAACGAAGGGCGGCCATTTTGGGCCGATTTTCACGAAATTCAAAATTCAGTCGTCCCTAGGGTGTAACGGTGATATAATAATACGTTTTTTTTAAATCGGGTAAAAATTATGACTTCTATAGGGTCCACAAGCTAAAAACGTGATTTTTCGTACAATCAGGGGTCATAATTCAGGAAGTTACGGTCCGATATGCACGAATATCGAAAGGAACCGAGATCTTTGGGTTATAAACTTACATTTCAAGTTTCAACAAAATCGGATAAAAATTGTGACCCCTATAGGGTCCACAACCTTGATATACCATATTCTTACGCTATTTGGGAACGAACGGCGGCCATTTTGTCTGTCAATTTTGGGCCGATTTTCACGAAATTCGAATTCAGTCATCCTTAGGAGATAACGGTGATATAATAGAACGTTTTTTTAAATCGGATAAAAATTATGACTTCTATAGGGTCCACAAGCTAAAAACGTGATTTTTCGAACAATCAGGGGCCATAATTCAGGAAGTTATGGTCCGATATGCGCAAATATCGAAAGGAACTGAGATCTTTGGGTTATAAACTTACATTTCATGTTTCAACAAAATCGGATAAAAATTATGACCTCTATAGGGTCCACAAGCTAAAAACGTGATTTTTCGTACAAACAGGGGCCATAATCCATGAAGTTTCAATCCGATACATGCCAATATCGAAAGCAGCCGAGATCTTTTGGGGATAAACCTATATTTCAAGTTTCGTCGAAATCAGATAAGAATTGTGACCTGTAGAGAGTCCACAAACAATTGTGGACAGACAGGGGCGACGGCATAATACGTCCACATGAAAATGCGGGCGTATAAAAATTGTGACCTCTATAGGGTCCACAACCTTGATATACCATATTTTTTTGGCTATTTGAGAACGAAGGGCGGCCATTTTGTCTGTCAGTTTTTGGCCGATTTTCACGAAATTCGAACTCAGCCGTCCTTAGTGTGTAACAGTGATATAATAATACGTTTTTTTAAATCAGATAAAAATTATGACCTCTATAGGGTCCACAAGCTAAAAACGCGATTTTTCATACAATCAGGGGCCATAATTCAGGAAGTTACAGTCCGATATGCGCGAATATCGTAAGGAACCGAGATCTTCGGGTTATAAACTTACATTTCAAGTTTCAACAAAATCGCATAAACATTGTGACCTCTATTGGGTCCACAACTTTGATATACCATATTTTTACACTATTTGAGAATGAAGGGCGGCCATTTTGTCTGTCAGTTCTGGGCCGATTTTCACGAAATTCAAACTCAGCCGTCCTTAGGGTGTAACGGTGATATAATAATACGTTTTTTTTTAAATCAGATATAAATTATGACCTCTATAGGGTCCACAAGCTAAAAATGCGTTTTTTCGTACAATAAGGGGCCATAATTCAGGAAGTTACATTCTGATATGCGCGAATATCGAAAGAAACCGAGATCTTTGGGTTATAAACTTACATTTCATGTTGCAACAAAATCGGATAAAAATTGTGACCTCTATAGGGTCCACAACCTTGATATACCATATTTGAGAACGAAGGGCGGCCATTTTGTCCATCAGTTTTGGCCCGATTTTCACGGAATTCGAATTCAGCCGTCCTTAGGGTGTAACGGTGATATTATAATACGTTTTTTTAAATCGGATAAAAATTATGACCTCTATAGGGTCCACAAGCTAAAAACGCGATTTTTCGTACAATCAGGGGCCATAATTCAGAAAGTTACGGTCCAATATGCGTGAATATCGAGAGGAACCGAGATCTTTGGGTTATAAACTTACATTTTAAGTTTCAACAAAATCGGATAAAAATTGTGACCTCTATAGGGTCCACAACCTTGATATACCATATTTTTACGCTATTTGAGAACGAAGGGCGGCCATTTTGTCTGTCAAGTTTTGGGCCGATTTTCACGAAATTCGAACTCAGCCGTCTTTAGGGTGTAACCAGGGCTCGACTCTGCCGGCGGCCTCGGCGGCCATGGCCTTCGAATTTTAGAATTTGGCCACCGATTCGTGGCCGATTTTTAACTATCCACGGCCATGTATGGTCGCCGGTTAGTGCTGAGTATCGTGAGTTATTTTTACTATCGATAATCGGTATCGAAACAATCTTATTTTCACGATCGTAATGAAGAATGGATTACGTGTTTTAAAGTCAAACCATACGATGTTTTTGTTCGTCTAATTAATAATAAACTGTCTCATATTACGTATAAATTGGTTAAATAATGTAGCCTTGGTTCCGAATGACGAAATACCATTGATAGGCCTATGTATGCGCAGGAACCAAAATAAAATGAGCACGAGTCGATTCAAAACATTGCGTACGTGAGCTCGACAAATACCAACATGGTGGACAAATCGTTGTCGATTCGTGTGCAAAACTAAAGAAAACGTGATAGCCTAAAGAGCTTGTTATCACGAATTCGTAAATTGTTTATTATTATTAATAAAATACAGCCTTGATTCCGAAAGAAGAAATACAAACGTTTTTGTCATCCATCATTGCTATGTCATTTATAAATAATGAGCAGACGAATTCTGAAAGGGGAAAAACTCTGAATTATTTACACATCCGGGTATCTCCAATTTAGCGAATTCCATGATATGGCGATTATTGTTTCAAATTAAAGTATTGTTTAAATTCCTTCAAAGTTCAAATGTCAATTGTCCCTCAATAGGAACAAAAGTAAGGGGTCCAATATGTCCATATTTTTGACATTTCCCCTCAACATCAGATGTCAGTCTTTGAACCGTTATATGGGGAATGTCTTCTGGTTGATTTGGTTCTTTTTTGTTTTGTCTTTTTTTCCTGATTTTGTTTTTAAACACATCCCATTGGGCTTTTCTTCTTGTAGGCTCAGACATGTTTCTCTAATTTAGGCTTGTTTACACTTTACAACGATTACTACTTTTGGAAGGGAGATAACTCACTGAACGTCTGGTTAATCAAGACACTATTAGCACTAGGGATTTGGTATCGTTTAGAACGAGGTTTTTAGCGCTGGAATGTATGCATAGAGTTTACTTTCAAAACATCGTTCGATAATTGATAAAAATCGTTTAAGAATTATATAAATGGGTTAGTTAGTACTATGGCTTAGTTTAATGGAAACGGGTTTAGTTTCTCCGAGAGTCGTTTAAAAATGG